AGTAGATATATATCTTTGGTGTCAATATTTTTAATTTAATCTACATTTAAGTCAATTCCATTCTCTTATTTTTCTTTTTTGAGAACATCCCCTAATGATAGTTTTTGACTAAAGATTCATATTTCGTTTTCTAATAAAAACGTGATATTGAACCTAGTCTATCATTTAATGGATATAAATTAAAATACAAGGCAACAAATTAAACACGTATAGAGAAGTCAAAACAAAGATATCTATTGGGAATTCATTTGACTTTAAATATTGCACTATATAAATAGCTCCACATTTAATCACCTAGGATGTGGTGTTGCACCGGATATGAAGCTACTCCTCTCTTAATCAGAGGTTTCAAATTCAAGTCTTGTGTATGAAAAAATCATTAATATGGAGCGCTTTCCTCTCGAATGGGGCTCTACGCGGCACGAATTCAAATTATTGAGACTTCAATGCGGATATCAGACTTTAGGATAGAAAAAAAAACGGAAAATAGAAAGTGTTGATAGTTAACATGTTGTATACTTCAACTTCACAGTAAGAGATCTCCTTTTAATTAACTCATTGTGAAGATTTTATCTCTTAATTACTTTGAAATTAAAGTTCAATTTGTTAATTATCAACGACATTAATTAAATAACTAAAAGCATTACTATGTGTCTGCGGAGTAATTATTTAGCTAAGAAGTACAACTATTTAAAAAAAGTTCTTTAGTAGTACAAATTTTTAAGTTTTTGTACAATAAACTATCCTAACAACCACTATTAGGTGAAGGAATTTATGAAGCTTGAGAAGTAATTGATGGCTTAGCAATTACACCCTCTATTTCAAAATAAATGAATTATTAAGGTAATACACATCTATTAAGAAGAAAAGTTTAGGACATAAATTGAACACCACTTTCTATTTTTGTCCTTTAGTTATTCTCAAACTATTCTTGAAATTATAAATTATTCAAAGTAAAATAATAAATATGAACAATTAACTCTCTTGAATTACCACCTAGAAAATGTAAATGAGGGGCAAAATGAAAAAAAAAACAATTCAACATCTCTCTTAAACTTTGAAGAATTCACTTATTTTGAAATATAAAAAAAGGCCCAACAATTTACTTATTTTGAAATGGAGGTAGTATTATTTAGTGTTAATTATGATTGGTCACTCAACTAACTTTTAAATTATTGCATTAAAGTTACTATATACTTCCTCCGTCCCATTTTATATGTTATTCATTTCTATAAATAGCTGGACCACAATACTTGTCATTTTATAAAATTTATGCATAAATTACCATATTTTGCCTATTATACCCTTGATAGAATAGTTAATTAATCTTGTCATTTATTAATAAAGTTGACTTAAGAAAACATTAAATAAGGGTATAGGGTAAAATTACATCATTTCTTAATGCAATTGCAAAGTAAAAATGTGACATATAAAGTGGAACGGAGGAAGTAACTTCTTACAACGAAAAAAGAACCCAACTTAACTTATTCTATGTTAATTAGGAAGAACCATATAGTAATATCCATCTTTTTCTTCTTGGTACAATCCATATAGTTTGATGAAAGTGCTATAAATAGACCGCCAAATTAGGAAAAGTTCTACTAATTGGGGAATATGTTACTAACATTTAAACTACAATCTAGACTCGTTTGCTGTGAGGTATAAAGTATAATATTTCCAGAATTAAATGAATGAATATTTTATCTCATGTTTGGTTGGAGGTATTAGGTAGTCATTAGATTAGTTATACCACAAATTTTATCATAGTGATAAGATAAGTTATCCCATATACATGATGGAATAACTTCTCTCAGAATTAATTATCCTAGAATAACTTGTTCCTAACCTAACGACCCCTAAAAGTACGGCTTAATTACTCCCACGGGAATGTTTCTTTTTCTGTTTAAGATGATTCGATCCCTTGGAATGAAAAAGTTGAACTTAATTATTATACTGTTGTAGTTCTAAAATTTTCCTTGGTTGAGCGATTCTTTTCTCATTCAAAAGGTAATTAAGGGGATAAAATAAACTTGGGAAAATGGACAAATATACCCTGAACTATCGTAAATGGTATGCAGATACCCTCCGTCATACTTTTGGAACATTGGTGCTCCTGCCATCCAAAAATTAGAGCATATATGCCCTTCACTCTAACAGAAGACTAAATAGGGACACGTGACACAATCTTATCCGTCGATCCAATATTTAATAAATGTCGGTCGGTGGATAAGATTATGACACGTGTATGTCCGTTAGTATAAAGGGTATACATGCTCTAGTTTTTGGACGACAGGGGCACCAACGCCCCAAAAGTATGACAGAGGGTATCTGCATACCATTTACGATAGTTCGGGAGTATATTTGTCTTTTTCCCCAATAAACTTTACTCAACAACAACAATAACATATTCACCAGTGTTTCAAAAGGCGGGGGCGTGAGGCGAGATGCTTTTTATAGTATAGGGCGAGGCGTAAGCCCCGAGACACGAGGCGTAAGTCCCATGGATCTATGGGGTGTAGTCTCATGTATATTCAATTTTATAGTTTTATTACTAATAAAATAAGCAAAAGTAAACCTTTCAATGATTTTTTATTTTTATTCGAGATAAATATTAATAATCAATAAATGAAGAAAAAAAGTATTATAATTACTATTTGAGAAATATCATTACACCAATAATAAAAATATGATTTAAAGCCAAAAAAAAAGTTCAAAAAAATAAATTTAAAACGTCTAGGCGTGTGTTTTTACTCCCAGGACTTACATTTTTATGCTCGGGGCTTACGCCTCAAATTTTAGGACTTACGCCTTATGAATCTACGTCTTTAATTTACACCCCAGAGCGTTTTTAGTACGCCCCACCCCGAGACTTGCCCCAAAAATATTTTTGAAAACATTGATATTAATTCACTATAATGTAAAGAGTATTTCTTTTTTCCTACACTATACTAAAGGGATAAAAATAAATTTACTCAACACCAATAATATCATACTCAATGTATTCTCATAAATATGTCCGAGAGAAAAAAGTATCCCCTCAGCTCACAAGAAATGTAACCAAAGTGAGGTTGAAAAAAATAATGACAACAAAATAACAAGATAGACGAAGAAAATGAAGCAACAAGTAGTAGTAAAAATGAAGGATAAGATACTACACGAATACTAAATAATACTAACTGTTCGAAGAAAAATAATAGAGAAATTTAAAAGCTTTGAGGAGTGAAAGATCACTATCTTTCAAGAGTTATTGCATATATATATTTTTAAAGATGACAAACAATTCTCTATCAGGATATAACAAAACTTGAAATATATATGCAATTGAATCCGCTACTTCTGGGAAAGCTTCGTATTATAAAACTTAAGAGATGACTTTTTCATGAACAAGATGACTTTTCATAATAGTCATGTTCTTTCATGTAAAAATGACTTTTCATGAAAGAGACACTCATTTTCTGAACAATCACAACCTAAAAGATGGTTTTTTCCACCAATGTGGAAACTTTCCCTTTATATTATAACTATCCTATCACTAATAAATAAGGAGAAGATGAAAAGAGGAGACTCGCCTCCTATTTCTTTCACATAAAAGTACGACAACACTCAACTACCTACTAACCTTCTATCTTAATTCTAGGTCTTCATAACTTCGATCCTATGAAGGGTTAGGTCCTCAATAAGCTAAAGATGCATCATATCCCTTGTCTAATCACCTCCTTAACCTCTCACACGTCTTTACTGATGCATCCGCACATCTCCTTTACACAGGCCCAAACCATCTCAACCTTTCTTCTCTCATCTTGTCCGCCAAAGAAGTGACTCATATCTTGTCCTTTATAACTTTATTTCTAATCTTATATCTCCTAGTATGCCCACATATCCATCTGATCAAGCGTCCTCATATTTGCTACCTTTATCTTATGAACATGTGCATTCCAACACTCTGCCCATACAACAATATAGGTCTAACAACCACTCTATTCCCACTCCAATATGAAGTGCCACATCATGATTAATAATATACTTATTTTAATTTCTTGGATTATAAACCTAAGATACTTGAAGCGATCGATCTTCACTTCTACCTCCATTTCATATATCACATCGTTGAATTTGCATTCGGGGTACTCTGTTTTCGTCCTACTTATATTGTAAAACCTTTAGATTCTATAGGGTTTATCTCCAAACTTTCACCTTATTGTTAACTCCACCGTGCGTCTTGTCGATCAATAATTCTATGTTATCAACAAACAACATACACCATGACACAATCTCTTAAATATACCGTGTCAATTCATCCTTCATAAAGACAAATAGAAACGGGCTGAGGACTTGTTCCTTGTACAACCCCATCATAAAAACGAAATATTTTGATCAATCACTCTCACTATTATTGTTCGGATCTTACCTTCATTGTATATATCCTTAATTATCCTAATATAAACCACACAAGTACACTATAGTCTTCGAACATGTTCATAAATTAAAACCTCCTCATAATAAGGAACTTTATCATGTCTTTTTTCTAACTTCTTGTATAATAATGAATCATTGAAACTGTTGAAAGAAAAAATGTAACAACAATATTTTCACTCATTCAATGAGATATCAAGTAATAACTTGGGTAGTGTGTACTAAAAGTCCTATCAAGTCATTATCAAACAACATTTGTGTAGTATTATACAAAGATAAACTTTTAATTCAAGGGTCCCATTAAAATGTCAAGTAGATGCAGCCAACTCTTACAGGTCCACAAGTATCAAACCTCATTTATTTGCTTTGAGCTGTCACTTAAAATGAGAGAAAAAATAACACATTTTTCTTAACATCACATTAATATCCAAAATACAAAAGCCCTCCTAAAATTACAGAATTTGTAATAAACAATTAGTAAAAAATGTTATATATGCTGGAAATTACAAGCCAAAATGTGTGGTAAAATTCAAAAAATATGATGATATCAAAGCACAGATACAAAAATCAAAACCTATTTATCTTTTACCCTAAAATGCTTATAATAAAATAGTCAATAATTTCAAATACAAAGGGGCAAAATAGTAAAAAAGAAAAATAAAGAACCTCCACTTGTGAGAAACACCCTAGTTGATATTTGACTTTTCTCCTTGTGTCCTAGCTGCTGTTTGACCACCTTTACAAAACATCATAAATTCCATTTCTGCCCCTTCCATCCCATTTTCGTCATTGAAGAACTTCGAAGCTCAAATGGAGTGACTAATCAAGTATATGTATATATATATATATATATATATATCAAATGTCGAATAAGTTATTGAAAAGATCAAAAGATGGAGTACCGGGAGATAAAAATAATCGCGGAGAAATGAAATTATTATTCGAAGGGCTAGGCAAGAAATTTGGTAATTCAAAATAATTCTTGTTGTTGACGTTGTTGTTGTTGTTGTTACTATGTAACACGGGACTTACTAAGTCATAAAAAAACCCTAATGGATTTGGATCATTTGATGGTGGTGAAAAAAAATTTGGTGGTATAGGTGGAAGTGAAGATGGATTTGGTGATAATATTCCAGGAAAAAATCCACCACGTTCAATTTCTGTACCTATTTCTATACCTTCATGTACCATATAATTATAATTTTCAATATTTTCACAATTTTTTTGTAATTTTTTCCCTTCTGGTACCCTTGTTTTCTCTATCGACGCAAACCTAGCTGCTGGAGATATAGCCCCGGTATTCATATTTTCTTGAAACGGGTAGAATGATGACGTGGCAGTTTCCGTGCTAGAACATGCGGTGGAATGATGATTTGACCCGGTTAGTCTTTGTACTAACGTCATGAACTCGCTAGGGTTTGCATGGATTACCTTGGGAGACACGGTATATATTATGACCGGTGGTCGTGGCGGAGCTAGTGGTTGTTGATGGTGATGGTGATGTTGTTGTGATGGTGGCACTGGTGGTTTTCTGATTTTATGAGAATCTTTACGCACTTTAAGTGGGGCCGGACGTGGTCCTTGAAGCTCTCTTCTTGGTGATTTTCCGGCGGAGTTTTCCGGTTGATCCATTTGAGAGTCAAAAGAATAAGGGGATGCAAATTTTGTTGATGTTGAAAAGGAGGAAAAAGGCATTTTACAAATGACAAATTTGAGAAAATGTAAGGAGGTGTTACAAGAATATTTAAAGAGGGAGCAAGTCAATGATGTATTTTTAAAGTAGATATAATATTCAAAGAGAAAAAAAGTAAAATAATTTAATTATTTGTTATATAAGTCGTATATAATTGGTCAGTTGTTTTTTGTTTTAAAAAAAAATGGTACGTAGGAGTTTTAGGGTTTAAATTAATTAGGTTGTCCGGCGGTTTATGTTATGTTATGTAGTCATGTAAGACAATAGTTCTTTATATTATTATTTCTTATTTGGTGTCCAGTATCCACATTGGATTTCGATTAAATTTGAATTCGTGTTAGAAAATTTCATATTGAAGGCAAATCGCTCTCTAATAAAGGTAATTTCGTATCCAGAAAGACTTGAACCTGAAATCTCTAGTTAAAGATGAAAGAGTACTTACCACTCTGCATGTTGATATGTAAGACAATAGTTTGAACATGTCCAAATAAAGAGAAGAGGTGGTGGGGAAAAAGTCAATTTTGGTGATGGATTGATGACAAGAGAAAAGGAGAAGAAAAAGAATAGTAAGTAATAGTATTATTTAGTAGCCAAGTGGATGTGGAATGCATTTATATTACTCTATCAACTAGCAAACCAAATATTTAATGAATTTGGATGTATTTCTTGGATGCCAGTAATATGACTTTATTACTTTTATGGTTCTATTTAGGTGTCTTAGGAAAGACATTTGGATCGTATATAATAATATATCAAAATGTTCTTTTATGATTTTAACTATGTTAGGTAGGATGTTAAAATGAGATAGTTATAAAATATAGAAACAATATTTGTTTACAATCGTACAAAATTAAAAAATAAAGTTGATATTCCGTTGGTCTCAATTTATGTGGCACAATTGAAATTTCGAAAGTTAATTAAATTTTTTAATCGAAATTTCTTTACATACCTTTTAAATATTTTATGGTATCAATTAATTATTGTAATTTACCGATATAGAAATTTGAATATCAAAATTTCAATTGAATCATATAAATTAAGACTTAAAAGAGTATATAAACGATTTAGAACAACAACATTTTTGCTGGCCTCTTCCCGGGGTCAAAGGAAATATAGTACTGTTTTTTTTTTTTGTACTTTTAATCTCATTTTCTTCTTGTTATTCTAAAACAAAGAAAAGAAGATGGTCAGCGTCGAAAATTGATTTGAATATGAAATTGTCTTTGATAAAAAATGTTTTATATTTCAAACCAAATGAGATCTAAAATTTGAAATGAATTTAAGGTTTATAAGTTCTGAGCAATTTTTAATTAAAAAAATATATTATTAGAAGTGCCAAAGAGGAATCGAATCCTCACTCGAACCCTTATAAAAACAATGACGAAGTATAAGCAAGTTCTATGGTGGGACTAAAGGATTCCCATTAAATATTTATTATATATTTAGTAGATTTTTCAATATAAATATATAGAATGCACAAAATTATAACTGGATTTTCAGGACTTGCACCCTATACACTAGATTTGCCTTTTTTAAATATTATTTTTATACTAGATCTGCCTTTACCTCGACACAAATTCAAATTAGTTGGGCCAAGTAAGAATCGGAGATCAAAAACAAACAAAAAAACAAGATCCTAATTAGATAAGATTGTCAATAATAAGGAGGAAATTAATTGCTTTTGCTTTCTCTTAACTTGTTAATTTTTGCAAGTTAGATGGATAACTGGGTCCATATTTGAATAAAACAATTGAACTTTAATAAATATGGGTTTGCTAATTTTCTTATAACTACTCATGCATGTTATAATTTGTCAATTAATTAAGTTGTAGTTGAATGATTAACAAGCTCAAGTGGTGTATATATGCCGGGGAGCAAATCTTTAGTTGGGTTTTCATTGCTATTTTAGTGCCATATTTTTTTTAAATTTAATTTTTGCAATTTTCGATATATTTGTTGTCATATCAAATTTAACACTTAATTACCAAGTAACTCTCTACTTAATAGCATAAATTGGTAGTTAAGCTAAAATAACTACTAAGTTTTGTTATAACAAATTGAGTTATATTTTTTTGGAACCCTAGGTTAACCAGCTTATTGGGTGAGCACACCGGGGATGTAAACCGCACTAGGCATGCCCTATGCGACATGCTCGACTCAGAAGGCACTGAGGCGATCCCAGATCATCCGTGTAGATAACCACCTTCCAAACCAACTGAGTCATCCCGAAGGACAAATTAAGTTATATTGATAGTGTAAAAAAATAGTGACATAGTCGATATATATAACTCGAACCTAAAAGTTTATCACACTCAATAAATTAATAACATAGTCAATGTTTTGATTAAATCAATAAATACTTTGAAATGTGTCATTTGCATACACTTTTCACTTAATTATATTATTAATCAAATAATTTTCACCTTAATTTAGCATTTACCTTGATAAATCAAATATAAAATGATGTAAATGCTCAATGTGGGTAAGTTTAGTTTCAATCATGCACTCATATTTGAGTACAAATATATGCACAAATAATGATTGTCTTCACATTAATTCTAGCCGATATAGATATGTCCTTAATTACTTTGTACTATGATACTTCTTAGTAATGGTATCATAATTTTTATTAAGAGCAGTCAAAATATAATAGAATATTAACATGAAGAATGTAAGAGGATTCAATATATATATATATATATATATATATATATATATATTTATATATATAGTGTATATACACAAAAATAAATTTAATATGAATATAATTTTTCAGCGAAAAAGTATCAGTTGACTTTTCCTTATATATAATAGCTCTCCACTGACTTCAATCTTAATTAGAGATATTTAGTTCGAATAATAAGAATGCATATAGTCGCTTTAAGTATAAAATAATTGATCTCTGAAAATAATTCTTTCTAGTATAAATCATAAATAAGCATCGGACATGGATAAGAAAGAAAGTTTATGTCCAACTTTGAAATTTTTTTGGTATAACACATGCTATTGGGTGCAAATTTATTACTCCATTAAAAATGAGAAGTCAATTGACTTTCTGATGTAGCACAACATGTTTCTGCTTTAAATTTTCCAATGGTTTGGTTTGTAGTCATTATCTTTGTTTAATTATTTATTATTTGATGCATCATCGATCCTCCATTTCGGATTTTAATTTGTACCTCTCATCGTATAATATACCAAAAATTGATAATTTTTCTTCCAAAAAAAAACAAACAAACAAATTGCTAATCTTTACGTACTCACTAATTTTTTTTCTTAGCAACAAAGATTGTTAAAATAGTTTCTAGAACCACATGCTGCTATTAGTGGAAGTGTAAGGGTGATTTTATAAAAAAATAAAAAAATCGAATATTCAAACCAAATCTTAACGTAAAGAGTGGAATAATCCAAAATATTATAAATGTCCTTAAAATTTCTCACATTAATTGAGAGACAAGTATATTTATTTTTAATATATGTGATAGAATTTGCCTCTTTATGACTTCGTGAGATAGTGAAAAAGTCTGTGTACATTCTATCCTCTCCAAATCCCACTCAATAGAGTTTCATTGGAGCTGTTATTGTTATTCTGAAAGAATTTGAACATCCAAATCAATTTTAACCTTAATGTAATGAACATAAATTAAATATATCTTCTACCTGTGAAAGAAAAAACATGCTTTAATTTGACAAAAACAATAACGTATTGAACCTTCTATAACCAAATCAAAGATCTTAGCTAGGGTAGAAACTATCTAAAATTGATATATTTCTATGTTAAATTCTTTATTCTTCTAGAAAAATTATATATTTTTATTACTCCTAACAGAATCTACTAATAACTAACGTGTGGTTGATTAACCATTCAAAGATTACTTCGTCCAATTAATATAATTAGTTGTTGCTTTGGTTCCTTCAACATATGCTAAGTCCTCTAATTTAAACAATTAATTGAGCTAATACATCTAAATTTCTTAACTAATTACTTAATAAATATGTTGTCATTGGTTACGACATAACTAAAACATAACACTAATTTCTATCACATCTTTATATACTTTCGTTTTATTTTACTTGACTCATATTGACTTGGCATAAATAATCCTCAAAAAGATATATTTATTAGGAGTTTATTTAATTAAATTTACTTTATTAATTATTATGCGTTGACAATTTAAATTTGACTACTACTGCTATACGTAGTTATTTACTAATGAGGATAGCACTAGATGAAAATACTCCTAATAAACTTCTCTTAATTTGCTAAAATGAACAAACAAAAAGCAAAAAATATTATATATAAGGGTTAGGTAAAATAAAACGACTGAGTGTATTTTAATAATATTGGATGCTATTTCCCGGTTAAGATACCTTGAATTTTAACGTCATTAGAAAAATATCGATTTTGTAAGTACTATAAAAACACATTTAGAAACATTTGCATTCTGCTTCTAGATAATTACTTCTTATAAAGAGTGGATTTTTAATTATTTTTTTTAAATAATTGAAAAAGGGTTTTCAAATTTAAACAGTGTCAATGTATTTGACACGGTTGGAAATGTTTTATTGAGAATAGTTTTTTCAACCTTGAAATCATTTTTTTTTTTAATTTTCATTACTTTGAATAGTTTAGATATTTTTCTTCAAAAGGAAAATATGACTTATGGGGGTAGTAGGTTTTTAGAAATATTTTCAAAATCCTAGTAATTCATATAACTTGCTTTTGCCAACACTTATTAGACATATTGGTGTTTTTCTTTGGTTTCGCGATGTTAAGATTGTCATGTAAAAGCTAATAATTATAAAATTTAAATAATGATAAATTAGACAATAACCAAAAAAAATTATAAAAAGACTTTAGGATATACTTTTTTTGTCCATCTTTACTCGCCCACTATATTAAAAATAGTTATCTAATAATGTTTATTCAGTTTTGAAAATCAAGAGATAATTTACTCATTGGTGTCTGTTTTATCTTGCTATTAAATACTATTCAACATCT